TGGTGATTATAAAAAATCAATTTTATATTTAAAAATTGTAATATTATTAAATTTAATATTTGATAGTATAAACTTAATGTAATATATTTATTTTCATAAAAATTAAAATAAAAAATGTGTTTAGAATTTTGATAAGTATAATTTTTTTTATGAAGTATTTTGATGTATCACCAACAAAGAGTATGTTGTTAAAAATGTGGTTGATACTATTTAGAATAAACATTAGCCACAATGGGTAGGTTGCTGAAAATGTGGGTGGAAGTATAAAAATAAATATCAGCACCATGGTTTTTTTTTTTTTTTTTTTGTAAAAGTTGAAAATCAGCAACGTGACTTTGCTTGCTGAAAATTTGGTAGAATTCCGATGTCGGTTTTTAGTCATATTTCTCTCAATTTTTAGCAACATGAGCCACATTGCTAAAACTCTATCTTCAGCAACGTGGCTTATGTTGCTAAAGGGAGTGACAAAATTCACCCCCCATTCCCATCGGATTTCGATGAGTGTTTTCAACAACATAACTTATATTGCTGATACTATATTTCTAGCAATGTAACTCATGTTGCAGATATATCAACAACAAAATTTTGGTTGGTAATATATTACCCACCAAGTCTTTTCCAACAAAACTTTTAGCAACCAAAACCATGTTGTTGAAGGGCTTTTAGCAACATAAGAAGCAATTTAAGAAACATGGACACTTCCATGTTGCTGAAGGTGAGGATTTTAGTAGTATTAGCTGACTAGTTGTGTTCAAGTACAAAAAGCAAGATAAAATCTAAAAGGAAAGGAGAGGTAAAAGTCACGTATGTATAGTACCGTTTCATGATATAAGCAAAGAAGAAAGAAAGAATGAAACCGACTTTCAATCAATTAGAAAATCATGGCTCAACAGTACCAATATTACGTGTGATAGCAATTAGAAAAGGAAGCAAGAACTGGGTACTTACGAGAGCGTTACCTTCGAATTTGTGCAATTGCATGCCCTGTGTTTGCATTATTGCCTCACAGAAGTTTTACTGTGGACGGTTGACTCGTCATCCATTCCCAATATATAAAGGGGATGATGGCCGATAGCGTAGGCTTTGCAAGTTGATGTCTGACGGTGAAATGTCATTTGCACCCCAGATGGACCCTACTAACAGAAGTAACGACTAAAAGGCCCAACTGCCCAAAGAGCACTGCTAGGGACACTCGCCTCTTGCACTCTCCGGCCAACACTTCCTTTTTCATTGGGTCACGTAAGCTTGTTTCAGCTTTGAAGTGTAACCTTGTACGGACCAAAATAACATGGCCCAATAAAAGTGAAAGTGTTGGCTGGAGAGTGCAGAAGGCGAGTGCCCCTAGCACTCCTCATTGCCCAAATCACCATTTTTCTCTATATTTTCTTCCAAATAAAAAGTATATATAACATATACATGGGAGTGTAGTATAAGTCGTCATTTTTGAAGTCACATTTGCATAGAATGGCCTTTTACTATTTATGCAAAGAAAGGGAAGATATTTACAAGAACAAAGTTATAGATTTGAATTTTAGATTGACTGCAATCACTAAAATTTAATCGCAATTTGTTTTTTTTTTTT